CAGTGTTGTTAGCACAAGGTGGGCCACGCAGTCACTCATCTAGAGTCTGTGTGAAGGGGTGAACAGACGCATCCGTCCAGGACAGAGAGCTCTCGGTCAGCAGCCACAGGCCACACACAGAAAGGCGTCTCCCAGACGGTCCTATGAGAAGTGCCACAGGGCCCCCAAGAGGGGAGCAGCCAAAACCACAGGGCATCCGGGACCCCCAGGGACCCAGGGACCCAGGGAAGGGGTAAGACACCCAAGGCTCCTCACCAAATCCAGAAGACAAGGGAGTTAGCAGGCTGCTTCTTCTTTTTAAATGAATTAACTCATATTTATTAGTAACATTTATTTTGTATCAAGTGTGTTGTGGTGATTATTTTAGTTAATAGCATGTTATCTATCTACACCAGGGGACTAAAATTGACTTTCCAAAAAAAAAAAAAAAAAAGACAGAAGTGAAGAAATGGGAAACGAGGAGGCCTCTCCACAGTGCAGGGCAGAGGCAGGGAGCCTTCGACACAGTCCGCGTGTCAGAAACTGTCGGGGGTCTGGCGATCCTGCCTGGAGATCTTGCCCAGTTTTAAGAAAGGTGTATCGTTCTCTAATGTGGAGCGGGTTGGTGCACACGCGCGCGCGCACACACACACACACTGTTTTTAATCGGTTGGAACAAACAGTCATCTTTTCACACTGTAAAGCCTCAACTCCTGTATCTGCAGATATAATCTATGTAAGGCTCTGACTGTGCCTTACTGCAGGCCAGGCTCAGCACTCCTCCCCCATCTCACACTTTCTGTTCCAGAACCGCAGAGCAGACTGACCTGCTAAAACGGATTTCTTCGGGAAAGGGAGCTGTGACTAAAGAACATTTCTGATACCAGCAACAGATGTTCTGGGAACTAATTCAGGCACCAGTGTACACAGACACTGTAACTAAATTGCCTGTTAAACATACTGAGAAAGAATGTTTATCTCTCTCCCAAGTTGGGCTTTTGTGGGGTGGAGCCTGAGAAAAGAGCATGGCTTTATTTCAGCCTTTAACATGCTCTTAGTTTTCAGACGAGGTCTCTGGGTTGTAAGACATAAAATCTGAACCTCTCACGGAGCCTGGGCATGCCCACCCCGCCCCTCAACTCCCCATTTCCAGCTTAATAAAGCTAAAAGTCACCCAGAGGTTACTCATCATCACAACTTGGATGAAGTTCATGAGGGCTTCAACAACTATGGAGATTAAAAGGATAGAATTCTTCTGGAAATTCAGTAAAAAGCTAAGTGGATTTAGTGGGACCCACTTTCAGAAATTCTCTCCCCATTGCCAGCCGGATGTCCTGCTGAGCCAACACGAAAATACTATTTTTATACCAAGGTACCTCAGGTCGCCCAGTAGCATTGCTTCATTCAACAGTGTTTCACTACAGTGTGTATAAAATACTGTAGACAAGTAACTCTCGTTTCTATCAATTAGCCTGTATTGGCATCATTATATGCCATTATGCTGTAGTTGCAAGTGAGAAGTTACTGTACCTGTTTATCTCTAGTAACAAATCAACAAAACCAAATCATTTGATCTAAGAACATGGCCACCAAATTCTATCAAATTCTCCAGAGACTAGCCAATAATAAGAAATACTAAAGACTTCTGCTCTATTCGAACCAGAAGAGGGGAAAACTTCACATGGAAGACCCCTACTCTGAGTATTTCACATGCCATTTTCAATGCCATGGAAACCCAGTTCCTCTCCCATGGGAGTGGAGGGGCCCCCAATGCCTCATCTCTGCCAGTGGATGGATCTCTCCCTGTGTGGCCAGAGCACCCCACACACAGCCCCAGAACACCGCTATCCACTTCCTTTAGTCCTGACACAAGGCAGCAAGAGCGGCCCCTTAAAGACCCACAGGCTTTAATCATTCATTAGAAAACTCCTGTCATGGTAAAGAGTCGAAGCTCAAATATGTATTAAATTGCATTTATGTCTGTCGCAACTCAAACTTAGTTTTTTAATAACATTTTTGGTAAACGTAGTGCCTTCATCACTCGTTCTACTGACCACTAAGCATTTCTGCATTACTGTAATAAGCACATGTTTACAGTGCTTAGTGATTAGCTGACATTACCCACTTTATCACTTCCCTCCATATTTTATGATCCTCAAGAGGAGAGCTGACCTGCCCATAAAAACGGACACAGCAGTTCATTCAATGAGCATTTAATGACTATGAAAACGCGCCAACCCGTTTAACTGTAAAGAGTATTCCTTTCTTGAAATTAGGGTCAAGGTCTTAGTAAGAACAGAAGGAAGAAAATAGATTTCCCATTGTGAATAACTAGCTACACTTCTACAATAGACTTTTAAGCAAAGAACGTGGAGGTCAAATTAACTTAGACTGATAACCTTACACACCATCGTACCGTAATAATGCCACATATTCTGAAGCTGAGTTTCTTCTTTTTAATCTTCATTGGAAATGAGGCAGTAAGAACCCTTCACTTACCCTCTGTTTCCCTCAGCTGCTAACATGGTGTAGGGAAAATGGAAGGTGAAGTCCTGTACATGTGATGGAAAGTAAATAAATGACGAAAAAAAGAGTTCAGATGCACTTTCTGACTTTATCTTTGCCAACCACTGTTCTCAAAGTTAGTATCTACAATCTCTTAAGGAGTATTTCATTTAAATCCAGACCTTAAAAGTTGAGCTCCAAGAATTTTCCAAAGTTACTAATTTTGGTAATGACAAATCCCTTCAGTGAACTATTTTAGGGCATTAAGGCAATTACTAAAGCACTTATCTTTTCAAAATTAAATCCAAGTAAAGGCAAAATCAATGGTGATCATATTTTATATGGACCTAATGAGTAGTAAAAAAAGAAAATAAAACCAGAAAAATCTACATGCAAATGTTTAATTTTCTGAGGGGTGCAAAGAGAAGCTCTGATCTGGTCCTTGAACACACATAAAGGGCGTAGGGAAGCATGGGTTCCTGGAGAGTGATCAAAACAAGCTGGACCTGAGTATTCAAATGCACACACACCTTTCTGAAAGCGCCCTCTACCAGCCAGGCCAGGCGGTGCAATGCTCTGAGAAATGCTACCAACGGCCCTGCCTTGGGGCTTTGTCCTGGGAATGGTGCCATTTAAAACTCTTACTTGGGGGAGGAAGGTGACCTACGAGTAGAGAAACTCCTTGTCAAAATTTACTAAAGATAATCACTAGGAACTGAAGAGATCTAAAAGACACTGTGGGTGGATTTAGGTGCATTATGTGACCAACAACAGGGAAGCAAAGGTCAAAGTGCAACTCCAAAGCCATACAAAAGAGCCCTACTAATGACATTCTTCTCATTTAAGCTTCCAGTCACTAAGTATCTAGGTTCCTCTGGTTAATGAGAAAGAGACCCAAATAATGTCCTTATTTCTGGACAGTTAAATGTCCAGACTGTAAGATACAAGACAGAGTATAAGACACACGTGAGACACTCTAAGTATCATAAAAGATTCAAGGAACAGAAAAGAGCTTTATGACCTATGGTCTGTACAGTTCTGTTCAGAATACCACATCTATTGTGAGTCCTTTGAGAACTATTATTCCTTCTCTCTCTAAGCAGAAATTATCTGCTTTCTCTAACTCCTATACAGCACTTTTAGCCCATCTTGAGAATTTTTCACATTGTGATTTGCACTGTAAATAAAAGTATAAATTCCTGAGAGCCAAGGCCCTGCCTTTGTATTCTGCACTTCTGCCAGGATAACAGATTTCCAACAAATGGTCAGGAAAGGCAATATAGTACAGCAGTTAAGAATATGAGCTCTGCAGCCTGAGACTGCCCAAGTTCAAGTCCTGGTCCCACCACTAACTTGAGATGGAAGAAGAGTTTCTAATTTCTGCGTCTCCATTTTTTTCATATGTAAAACCACCACAGTAATAGTAAGCAGTAGAATTCTTATGAGGATTAAATGAGACGATTCCTGCCATGGGCTTAGAATGGTGCTTGGCATATAGTTAAGTGTTTAATGAATGTTCACTAGTAATCAGTAGTCGTCGTAACAGCACATTAGTGAATGAATTACTGAATAAATGGCTGATACGCAAGTAAAAACTATCATAAAAATTAGGGGGGGCCTCATGCTGGGTTTTGACAGGATATCTCTCAGATTTAAATCTTTTAAAAATACAGGACACTCAGTTAGAGTAAATTTTAGATAAACCAAAAGTACTCTTTTAGTATAAACATGTCCCAGTATTGTATGGTAGGAGGGAACTGGTAAAGCAGCATCTAGGAGAACAAGAACATTGGTTTGCTGTTTTAAGAAAAAGTCTCTTTGTCTTAAAAGTCACTCCGTTCTCTTTTAAAGAACCTCGTCCCTTCTTTACCTCTTCTAGGAAGCCCTCCTCATCATACATATGTGCCCTTTAACAACAACGATCAGTCGAAGTAAAAACAAGGATCTTTAACTAGAGGGCACCCTCCTGTATTTGCTGCTGACCACAGTGTACCCTGCTCACCAGCTGACAGAGCTACGCTTACTGGGGCCCAGTGGGTGCTGCCCAAGTCCTGATAAATCCGAACAATCTGCAGTTCTTCAAAGTCTTGAAGGCCCCCTCTCCTCCCAACTTGAACTACACAGAACAAACTTGTAGAAAGTTTAGCTTTAACAAATGTGCTTTGAATACTTAACAGTGGTTTCAAAAAGGCAGGGGCCAAATTTCCCACATTAGCAGGGGTTGAATGGGATTAAGTTAGTGCTGGTGGTTTAAACTCACTAAACGGTTCCTAGACTGGTTGGGGTTCTCTGAGGACATACCTGTTTCTACAGAACCAGAGCATATTAGAGTGTTACGGTGTCTCAGAAAGGCCTTCCCAAGCCTTACGGTATTGGTAAGGCTTCTGGTCAAAAAGACACCACATACTCTGTGTTCATTATAAACAAGTGTTCTTTTATAACTGACAATCAGATTTATGCTTTCCATTCTAATGGCCAGTCATCCAGAGCAACAAGCTTGCAGGTCGCCATCTTACCCCTCAGGACTGTTTTGAGGTTGAGCTTGGCTTGGCGGTGCAGGTCCTCCACGCAGGGGGGTCTTGTGCTGGGAAGGAACACGTTCTCCTGCTGGTGCCATGGAGCGGTGTAGTGGACTGTCCATCTGCTCTCCTCATCTAGGTTGGAAACCGCTGTAGAAAGAGACAGAATCAATTCAGCTGTCAGATTAAGTTGCACTACCTCCAAATGGATTACATCGAGGTGGATTCTCGGTGTCTAATGCCTTCCTAGGTAAGGGCCAGCAAGAGGGAAATAGTGCAAATTTTGAGTGAGCTTTAACCTTAGACTCCAGGGCTCCTTCCCACAATGCCTTTAGAGTCTGTCTCTACAGGAACTGGTGAAACTGTCCACCATGTTTTGGTAGAAGTGTTTACTCAGTTAATCGCTTCCTAGCATTTTAGGCCCTCTTTCTACATCAGTGTTAGGAAATGACTGACAAAACCTATAGAGACCTCAAACTCCTACTGAAGTCCACCAGGAAAGGTATCTGTTTTCTATTATAAAATGCCATTGCATCAGTAAATGTCAGATTGTCCAAACAGAAACAAATTTCCTACTGAGAGTTTGAGACCAAATATTTCCTCCCTAAAGCATTATTTTAAAACATCACTGTTATAAACTCAAAGCTAAAAAATTATGCATAAACATTCAAGATAATAATACATTTAAACAGCATATCAGTACAAATCAATTTGTGCTATAAAATTTTCTATTTCTTACTTTCATGAAATACTTTTATACTGAATTTTTTTCCAATTCCAATCTCATTTACTTTCCCAACAAAATCCAGTTCAACTGAGTTTTCCCAGCACAAAAAAATGATGAAATCATTAGGGGGGAGGGAATGATAGGTAATCACAAGAGAATGCGAAATCTCTCCAATCATTTTCCCTTATTCCCTGAAGGGCTTGAGACTTCCTTTCTATTTCACTTTCCCTGACAACACAACCTAAACTGGCGTACCACTGGAGCACCAAATGAATTCATCAACAATTATGCATCTGCCACAGTAAGCCAAGCATAGGACAGACTAGATAAATATAAGGAAAAGACCCCATGCGGAGTCATTTACAGGAGATGACAAGTATAACACCTGCAAAATCAGTAAGTACTAGAATAGGAAGTGAGGGGCGAGGCTTCCCTAACTCTGACCTACACTACAGAGGGCACACTGGGCAAACCCATTTCTACAAATAATGTGTCTCTGCTAGGTAACTAGACCTAGACCATAAAACAGATTCTCAAAATAAAATGGACAAGCATGCGTGAACTAGTGAACTATCTGAACACATTTAAAATCAACACAGTGGACCCCATAGCACAGCTACTAGAACTATTACAAAGATCAAGTGAACTAACATGTACAAAGTCTTAGCTCACAAAATGACTCACATAAAGCTCAGCTGTGGCAGGAGCAGTCAATTGACTCCAGAGGAGCCCTGACCTTAGAACCATCATGGAGGAGGAAGTGGGCCTTTCGCGGCACCCAGGGAACCTGACTCGCAAGTTAGCTCTCACCCCACAAGCCACCTTTTGTACAGCTAGTAAATTCTACGAGCCTTGCCCCCAAATAACTCATTTCATAAATGATCCTGCCTTCTCCACCAATTGCTAAAGGGAAAAATAAACACTGAGAACTAGATGTCAAGTTAAAAATTAAAATGTCCTGTGTGCTTTCTGCTTTGAATGTTTGACAAAGAAGTATGTAAATTAGGCACCTGGTATTTCATGTATCCTCCTGTTGAACAAATGTTTTGCATGGTGCATGTAGCTATCAATCTTCACACACAACATCCACAAAGATCTGACTTAGTCTCACTCACACAACTGCAATTCTTGCCCAGTGCGGAACACACCATATGTCCCCCAAAGAGGAGCCCTAAATAATTACAATGTTTTGTGCTGATGGCCACTTTTTTGAAAAACTGAATTACCATCCTTACTAGCTGAAAAATATTGAAAACTGAAACTCTTCCTATTTGCAATTACAAATCAAATCCAAGTAATGGTATTTGAATCTATGTAATCACAGCATTAGCGCGATTCTAAGCTACCAACTGACTCCTATGAAAGAGCAGTTGTCTCTTCCCTGGTGTAGCTCACTGTCTCTCGAGAGAAGATTCTAATCATTTCATCCACAGGCAGCCTTCTGAGTGAAAGAGCTGCAGAGAGCAATCCCAGGGTGCAGTTCTTTGTTGCTCTCTCCCAAGTGTCTCTTCCCAATGGCTCCTACCCATGCACATTTATCCAGTTTAAATCATTGTTCCCCAAACTAAACTAAAACTAACAAAACAATAACTATGTAAAAGTAAACCACGTATTTGTAAAAATTATACTTTTCCAGGGAATGAAGAAACACCTAGATAAAAGAAATTTAAACCAATGATAAGTACACAATGAAGCCACCACCACAAAAGCTGTGTACTTTACAATGACGGATCAGTCCAGACAGAATATGTCCTCCAGCCATAAAATACAAAACAGAGAGTGCCAGGGCGGTTTAGAGGATCATCTCCATTGAAAATATGTGACACAGTGCACAGACGTTCCCCGCACAGTAAGTCAAAGAATCAAAACACCATACATCAGGGTGGACGTAAAGTAAATACAAGGCTCCCCCTCCCATTTCTTCAAAGGGCTTTTTTTGAGAAGCACAAAAGGAGTAAATTCACCTGAAATCTGAACCATAAATAAACAAGACATGCTGAGATCACATAATTCTGCCCTCAAGTTACAAAAGTCGGACGTATTTGAACAACCTGGTGGAGAATGGAGTTTAACTTGTGTTAATTATGCTGTTTCACACTCTCATCCTGGCACTCAAAAGGATGAACTAGCACATAAACACACACACACAGTGGGGAGAAAAGAAACTACTTACTTTTCTTCTTAAAAAGTTTAATTAAAGACTTGAGCTTTGCATTAATGAAGACCACCATTTCCAGGATGCCTACACAGGGTTTAGAAATTTAAATCACATTCAAAGCTCAGTCCAGCAGGCAGGTGGCAAGCTGCATCCTTCTGCTCCAGATTCTAACTTCTTCTCTGTTCTCCAATCATTAGACATCTGCCCAGGCTGATGTAACTTGGAGGTTGAGCTTATTGTCAGGCAGTTACAAACCATTAACAGTCCTTGAACCTGAAAATCTCCCACTGAAACCTAATCTTTAAGGCCCAGAGCCGCCGGTGACAACGTGTGCAGAAAGAGAAAGCCAATCGCTGTTCTTATTTGCATGATAGCCACCTCAGTCTTTCTGCCTCGGGCTCATTTGTTCAGTTTTCTCTCCAACAGATCAGAAGTGTCTCCGCTCTGCAGTCCACAAACTACAGCAGGTTTCCTCTGTGGAGGTCAAGGTGAAGCAAATGTGCTCCCCATTTTCAGTAGGTCACGATGAACGTCCAGATCTTTTTCCTGGAGCCGACAAGTCTTAGAGCAAGTCTGTGTTGATTCTTCAACTCTCCAGTTAATTCAGGCATTGGAACTGATTTAGGGGGAAAAGGAGCCCAACTTTTGTTTCCCTGACCACGCCCCCAGGCTCTGCCTCCCGCACCAAAGGAGCATTTACAAGCAGTAAAACTTTACAATAGAATCTCCACAGAGCTGTAAGTGATGACTTGGTTGCATTTTCGTGCAAATGAGTACACCCAGACTTCTCACCCAGTTTTTTTCTTTAGCCGGTGATTGAGAATCAGCATTGTAATTGCTCCAAAGTTTGATCTTATTTGCACCTAGCTGTTGCAACTCTCTCCCCCAAGCAGAACCCCCCAACTTACCCACTCCAAAGGAGAAATTAGATAAAGCATCCTAATCATTTAAATTGGTATTTTAAATTTAATTATCATCTAAGCACCTGGCTAAATAAATCACACACACACACACACACACACCCTCCCTCCCTGATGAGGATGAAGAGGAGTAATTTCAAACATTATTTGGGTTCCTCTTTAATGTGAGTATAATACTGTACTGGTTCTTTTGTCCATTAGTAGTTACCCTCAGAGAACTGAGGGAACACAAACAGACAGAAGAATCAGAAATGGGTATAAGCAGGCACTAGAAAAATATATTCTTGGGTAAAGGAACAGGAACAAAAAGGAAAAAGGATACAGATCAGGAAATGTTACAAAAACAAAGGAAAATAATGCTCCTCACTTCTTCCCCCAATTCTACTTTACAGCAAAACAGTTTCTGAAACACGTTAGACAACCTCTTATTTCATAGCTTTGGGCCAGACTTATAACTGAATGGAAAAATGTAATAATCCACTAACTCAAAACGTTTCGTTTATAACAAAAGCTCTTAGTCAAAGAATAAAATTTATATAAGGGGCTCCCTCTAGGGAAAGTTTTGGAATGATTCCTCCTCTCCCCTTAATCTTAAATTTTGAATAACAAAAGCAAAGCAAACAAAAAACCCCCACATATTATCATATTACCATACATATTATTACAGATTTCCAATTTGTATTCTTTCATTCTATACGTAGCTTTACTTAAAAGTAATCAGATGGTCAGATGGCAAATAAGAAACCGAGACTACGAGTTAAATTATATAGCTGCTTAAATTAGTGAGCAAAGTTCCCCTTAGGAAAACAAATTTATAAGCAACAGTGACCTCACTCTGCTTCCAGAGCTGCCCCCAACCCTCACCGCGCTGGAGGCAGCAGCGTGTTCTGGACAGAAGCACTCCTGCTCACATCCACAGGCTTCATGTCCCCACCAGGCACACTTGCAACTGAAAACGGCATGTAGCTTGTTTTTTTTATTATATATTTTTTCCATCACCATTTAGTCCCCTTATACCCTCTCCCCGTCCAGCAATTCCCATGCTATTGTCCATGTCCATGAGTCCTTTTTCCTTTTTCCTCAACCCCTGTACCTCCATAACTGCCTCCCCACAGTTAGCAGTAGTTTTTCACGTGGGTAACAATGGCATCTGAACACTGACTCAGTCATGAAAAAGGTAAATGCTGAGCACGTACTAAGTGCCACTCATCTGGGACACATCAGAGAGGTAGGTCCCTGTCCTCATGTAGCTTACATTATTTGACCAAAGACTACATTACGTGGTATATTGGTAAGTGCAATGGACAAAAGAAAAAAGTTGAACAGGATGAAAGGAGTTCTGGGG